TTGAATGTGAAACTGATGATGTGCCCTGTAAACTTTCACTCAATCCACAATAAAAACCTTAAATTAAAAAAAAAAAAAGAAAGAAAGAAACAATTGGAGGTGGGAGGATGCTCCTGAGTTGTTTTCTACCCCAGAAGTTTTGATTAACACTTCATTTCCTGAGTAAACTAAAAAAAAAAAAAAAAAAACAGTGGAAGGAATACAAAAAGTCACTGTACCAAAAAGAAAGGGTAAGTGTTCAATCATTTCAAGAGGTAACATATGATCAAGAGTCAATTATACTGAAGGAAGAAGTCCAAGGTGCACTGAAAGCATTGGCAAAGAACAAGGCTCCAGGAATTGATGGACCACAAATTGAAATCCTTCAACAAACTGATGCAGCACCAGAGGCACTCACTCATCTGTGCCAAGAAATCTGGAAGATAACTACCTGTCCACTGGAGGAGATCCATATTTGTGCCCATTTCAAAGAAGAGAGGTAACCCAAAGGAATGCGTAAATCATTGGACAATTTCATTAATATCTCATACAAGTATAATTTTGCTAAAGATAATTTAAAAAACAGCTGCAAACATACATTGACAGAGACCTGCCAGAGGTTCAAGCCAGATTCAGATGAGGACATGGAATGAGGTATAATTGCTGATGTCAGATAGATCTTGACTGAAAGCAGAGAATATCAGAAAGATGTTTGTGCTTTATTGAGTATGTAAAGGCTTATGATTGTGTGGATCATGACAAGCTATGGACAACATTGCAGAGAATGAATATTATAAAACACTTAATTGTGCTCATGAGGGACCTGTACATAGACCAAGAGTCAGTTGTTTGAACATAACAAGGAGACACTGAATGGTTTAAAATTAGGAATGGTGTGTGCCAGGGTTGTATTCTTTCACCATGTTTATTCAATCTTTATGCTAAGCACATAATCCAACAAGATGGATTATATGAAGAAAAACATGGCATCAGGATTGGAAAAAGACTCATTAACAACCTGTGATATACAGGTGATATAACCTTGCTTGCTGAAAATGAAGAGGACTTAAAATACTTAACTGTTGAAGATCAAAGACCACAGCCTGCAGTATGGGTTGTACCTCAATGTAAAGAAGACAAAATTCCTCACCACTGGACCAATAAGCAATAACCATATAAATGGAGAGAAGATTAAAATTGTCAAAGACTTCATTTTGCTTGGATCAACCATCAACACACCATGGAAGCAGCGGTCAAGAAATTGCATTGGGCATATTACATTGGGAAACTTTGCTGCACAAGTCCTCTTTAAAGTGTTCAAGAGCAAAGATTTCAGTTTGAGGACTAAGGTGCACCTGACCCAAGTCATGGTATTTTCAATAACCTTATATGCATGTGAAAGTTGGACAGTGAATAAGGAAGACCATAGTTGGAGGAGTATTTTGAAAGTACCATGAGCTGCCAGAAAAACAAACCAATCTGTATTGGAAGTAGTACAGCCAGAATGCTCCTTAGAAGCCAGAATGGCCAGACTTTGTATCTCATACTTCAGACATACTGTCAGGGGGACCAGTCCCTGAAGTAGGATATCATATTTGTTAAAGTGGAGGGTCAGAGAAAAAGAGGAAGACCCCCAACTAGGTAGAGTGGCACAGTGGCAGCAGCAATGGATTCAAATGTAACGACGACTGTGAGGTTGGATCAGGATCACTTTTGTTTCGTTCTATTTTGCACAGGGTCGCTATAAGTCAGTACCAACTCGATGGCACCTAACAACAACATATCCCTTTATTGTGCTATCCAGAGCATTCCTTTCCACTAGTTCCCATCAGTGAGATTTGAGCAAATACCTGCTGCAGTTCACCAGAGCTATTGGCACTCCACTTCCCACCAGTTCTCAAAGCCCATGTTAGAACCTGCTCCCTAGAAAGGCCCCCAGTACCAAGTGTTGGTGGAATTCCCCAGGAAACAGTTTCTGAGGCTGAAGTTTGCCTTTAGAAGTATATGGGAGAGTGTATATGGGAACAACATCTACAAGAAAGGGAGGAAAACAGGGTTGTGCAGAGGAGATGGGGCCATGATGCAGTTGTAAGAAGGGCTTTGCCATGGCAGCTCTGCGGCTGAGATGGCTCTTTAAGGTTGAAATAAATTGAGACAAAAGATTGGGCCCATTGCTCAGCCTTTGAATTCAAGTTTTCTGATAGAAGGAGCATTTCCTAGATGAAGCATCTAGCTTTCACCAAGGGTAGTGCTTGAGAAGGAGCTCAGCTGTGAACTGTCAGAAGCCAATACTCCCAGCAGTTGGGAGATGAGAGATCTGGATGACAGAGTACATTCCCTTCTGCACAAGCCATTTTATCCAGGTGTGTTCAGTTTACCTTGGGTAGGGACAAGGCCCTGTTTTGGTGGTTAGATACCACAAAAGTGTTAGGGTCACTAAGTTTGTAAAATGGTAGTAGTAGGGTCAGAACCTCTTAAACTTCAGGGGGAATAATTCAGCCCTAACTTGAAGAAGAAAGTCACCTCTGAAGTTAGTGTTGCTGATACCCCTCTCACCAGCCCATGTCTGTTGACCTTGGTAATAGAGGGTGTCCTTGAGACACAATCTTGTGATGGTGGGATCTCTGGTCTCCTAACTGATTATAGCATGTCATTCTCTGAGTCAATACATGTTCTCATACATGTCTCTTTAAACATATGGCATAACCTAGTAAGTGAGTGAGTCCCTTTACTTTAAGGCCATATTGCTAATGATGGAATTGCTTCTGCATATGGTATGATATCTTCAAGTTAACTAAACACTGTCAAAATGGTTCTATCTATTTTCAATTCTATCATCGGTAGAAAAGAGTTCTCAGGACCCACTTTCTCTCCAATATGCAATATTGTATGCTTTTACATTTTAGCCATCCAATTAGTGCCAAATCAGAGTTTTAAAATAATGACCTATGCTGGCACTACAAGATGGATTGGGCCAAAGTAAAGGGTCAACCTTTTATCACATTATTTCTCTTAACTGTCTGCTCAGACTGTGGGCCAGTGACTTTAAATAGTTTATAAGCGCATTTCACATTTTCATATTGAGTAATATTATGAATATTAGTTTTAAGATTTTTGCTAATCAGTGGGAAATTAATACAATTTATGTTATCCAAGTATGGAATAAGGACTAATATTAAAATGATTTTATTGTTATAACACTGAAATATCTAATATAGTGTCTCTTATATCCTTCTGATTTAGGCAATTTAAACATGGGCCTTCAAAAATGCTAAGTTTACAATGAGAAGCATTATAGTTCAGTATTTATTCTATGGGTCCATTATATTTGGGATATGGACAGCTCTGTTACTCATTCATTTTCACCATACTTATGAGAACAACCAGGAGAAGAAATTTCAGAAGTCTGAATCAGTTTGGTCCCTTGAAAAAAATGTGCATCTGCAAGCTACCCAGGGTTCAGAGCAAATGCAAAAACCACACTTAAGAAAAGAATGGTCTGCAGAAAATAAACCTGAAAAACAGAAAGCAAATTTTAAATTCCGTAAGTAACTTGGTTTTCTTTGTTAGCTATTTCGAGAGGAGAATACAGCACAACTTTAATGTTTTGAAGTGTAAAAAAATATCCTTACTAAAGAATTTGATCATTTAGTTAAGAAATATTGAAAATATACATAGTACATATATGTGCAGGAAACATACATGTACTATGCATATTTCAATATTAAAATATACAGTATTCATCCCACAAATTTAACAGTTTTTAACATAGTTTACTTTATTTACATCATATATTTCTTTTTTAAAAATAGTTACAGAAAAAAACCACACTGTTATTCTTTTTCCGCCTTCTAACCCCAGAAGGAAGGAGCTCTGGTAGCACAGTGGTTACGAATCAGGCTACGAACCTTAAGGTCAACAGTTCGAAACTATCAGCTGTTCTGCGGTTGAAAGATGAGGCTTTCTGCTCCCGTAAAGATTTCCAGCCTTGGAAACCCTGTACAGGGTCGCTATGAGTCGGAACCGACTCCACAGCACATAACAACAACAACCCTAGAGAGGAGTCACTACCCTGAATGGTGGATGGGCAGCCTTCTCATGTTATTTGTTATACTTCTGCATATATTATTCCTAAACAGTATGTAGTGTTATGTTCTTAATACTTTTGTAAATGCTCCATTGTACATACATAACTTTGATAAATTGCTTTTCACTCAGATGTCTGCAAGATTTTTTCTCAGATTCACATATGTGTTACTCCAGTATAAACCAAAGAAAGTTGAAGGAAGAAAATATACAGGTCCCTCTGCCTCGATGACTGCTTGGCCTCAAACCTGTCCTACTGAGCAGAATGCACATGCGAGACACCAAAGTTCCATTTCAGGTCCTCTGGACCCTTCCCTCAGTCACACCTCCATCTGGTTCTCACAGTCTTAACATTCAGATGGTGACAGAAAGCAAAGCAGGGTGAGGGATGAGTGTTGCTGACGATAGCTTGCTACTGCTCTTTCATAGTTTATAGTTCTGCTTCATTCTTCAGCATTTTTATAGTGTGAACACATCAGATTTCATTGAACCATTCCCAGCTGATGGGCACTGAGGTTGATTCTGGTTGATTCTAATTACAAATTGAGTCTTAGTGTGACGCTATAGGAATAAGGCACTGTCGGTTTGAGCCACAAGGTTAGTAGTTCAAACTCACCAGCCACTTCTTGGAAACCCTATACAGGGTCGCAATGAGTTGGCACTAACTCAGCAGCACTTAACAACAACAACAATTACAAACTGGTGTTGTGAGTTTCTTGATATGCATAACATACACACATACACATTTAAAAGTGCATATAATTCTATATTTACATAAACTGTACATGCTTTTTAAAATTTTTTAAATAGAAATTATTAAAGCATTCACCCTGTATCACCAATATTGAGTAAACACACTGATGATGAAAAAAAAATGATGGTGTCTCTTATTTTAATTTGCAACCAGTGTGTTTTTACAAAGGTGACCAGGGACTTAAATTCTGGTCCCTGATGCATCCCAGTACCTAGTGCAGTGCCTGGCACCTAGACAACTGCAACTAAAGGAGCATCCATTCACCAAGGGATGGGAGCCTATGTCCTTCCTTTCTCACAGGGCCACTCATGACTTTCAACTCAGATTGATATCTCTGACCTGAACAGTTTTCCCTTTTTTGTTACCACTTGTGACTTTATCAGTTGTACACAAACCACTTGAACTTGTCATTGTTAACTGTCATCGAGTTGACTCCCATCTCATGGTACATTGGGATCAGACTGTTGTGACCCATGGGGTTTTCACTGGCTGATTTTCAGAGGCAGCTTGCCAGGCCTTTCTTCCGTGTCCATTTTAGTCTGGAAGTTCCACTGAGAGCTGCTGAACATCACTGAAACTTGTTTAGCAACACACAAGCTTCCGCTGACAGATGAGCAATGGCTGCACTTGTGATGCACTGGTCAGGAAGCAAACTCAAGTCTCCTCAATGGATGGCAAGAATTCTACCACTGAACTCCAAGGGGTTGAGCCAGATAATTTTTCAAATGTTTTCTTGGACATTGTACATTTTAAAATTCTTGTCCTCTGTTCCATGTATTAAAGTCTTCATGCCCCACCTAACTTGTAACTACCAAAGGTAGTTAATATCATGTTTACTTTATAATTCTTCATCCCTTTTTTTCAGGAGTGTAGTGGATTATGAGTTGGGCTGCTAATTACAAGGTCAGCAGCTCAAATTTACCAGCTTCTTTGTGAGAGAAAGATGAGGCTTTGTTCTACCCCATAAGGTTTTCCAGCCTTGGAAATTCTATTCATGACCACTATAGTTGGAACCAACTCAGTGGCGCACAATGACCACCACCACCATCACTTACTTTATAACCCACCCATCCCTTGGGTAAATATTTGGCGACTAACCAAAAAGGCTGGTATTCGGATACACCCAAAAGTGCTGTGGAAGAAAAGTCTGACAACCAACTTCTGAAAAGTCTCAGTCACTGAAAACTAGTTTCACCATGAAACATATGAATAAGACTGCCATGAGTTGGGATCCATTCTTTCATCACTAGGCATAATTATCAAAGATGCTAATTATATTAAAATTATGAAGTCACCAATAAGCTGTATGGTAGGAAAGGTTGCATTTAAGGGCGATTTTTAAGTAAACAAATGGAAACCGATAGAGTTTCTCTAATCCTCAAGCAAAAAATTAGAAAGATGTTTTGTTGTTGCTGTTGTTAAATGCTGTCGAGTCTGTTCTGACTCACAGTGACCCTATATAGGGTTTCCGAGTAGCAGTTGGTGTGTGAGTTCGAACAGCCAAACTGGCAGTTCTTATCACTTGTGCTTTATTGACTATGTAAAGGTTTTCAATTGTGTGGATCATAACAAGCTATGGATAACATTGTGGAAAATGTGTATTTTAGAACACTTAATTATGCTCATGAGGATCACGTACATAGACCAAGACGCAGTCATTCAAACAGAACGAGGGTATATTGAATGGTTTATAATCAGCAAAGATATGCACCAGGGTTGTAAACTTTCACCATCCTTATTAAATCTGTATACTTAGCAAATAATATAAGACACTGGGTTATATGAAGAAGGATATTGCATCAGGATTGGAGGAAGACTTATTAGCAACCTATGATGGGTTGCTAAGAGGATACAACCTTGCTTGCTGGAAGCAAAGAGGACTTAAAATACTGATGAAGATCAAAGAGCACAGTTTTCAGTATGGATTGCACCTCACTGTAAAGAAAATGAAAATCCTCACAACTGGACTAATAAATAACATCAATATAAATTGGGGTAAAGAGTGACGTCATCAAAGACTTCATTTTGCTCAGATCAACCATCAACACTCATGGAAGCAGCAGTCAAATAATACAGTTACATGATTGCATTAGGCAAATCTTCTGTACAAGACGTCTTTAAAGTGTTAAAGAACTAAAGTGCACCTGACCCAAGTGATGGTATTTTCCATAGCCTCATATGCATGACAAAGTAGGGTAATGAATAAGGAAGACCAAAGAAGAATTGATGCATTTAAGTTATGGTGTTGGAGAAGAATGTTAAAAGTACCATGAACTTCCAGAAGAGCAAACAAATCCGTGTTGGAAGAAATATAGCCAGAGTTTTCCTTAGAAGCCAGGGTAGTGAGACTTCGCCTCTCATACTTCAGACATGTTATCAGGAGAAGGACATCATCTTCAATAAAGTGGAGGATCAGCAAAAAAGAGGAAGACCCCCAACAATAACATAGTGAATATCAGACTCTCCCAGAGTTAATTCTTGCCCTTCTCTCTCTTCTGATGCCTAGCTCTACCTTGGGCATCACCTTTGAGGTAGCCTTTGGAACTTGCATCTCTACTTTCAGGCTTGCCCCCATCAAAGTCCAGCTCCACACTGATACATAAATACACAGATGACCTTCTTGAAAATCTGACCATGTCTTTTCTCTGGTGCTCAGACCTCATAAAGGAGTCTAGCATAGGCTTTCTAGGATCTGTCCCAGGGCAGCTATCTCAGTCTGACCCAAAGGGATTTGGCTTCAGCCTCATCTCCCTCCAGTCCCTTATTGTATCAGTTTATAGTCAGCAACATGTAGCATGAAGGTAATTTTTTAAATGGCTGCAACAATACATTGACAGAGAACTGCCAGAGGTTCAAGCCAGATTCAGACTAGGACATGGAATGAGGGCTATCGTTGCTGATGTTAGATGGATATTGGCTAAAAGCAGAAAATACCTGAAAGATGTTTACATGTGCTTTATTGACTATGCAAAGGTTTTTGACTGTGTGGATCATGACAGACTATGGACAACATTTCAGGTAACGAGTATTCTGGAAAACTTAACTGTGCACATAAGGAACCTGTACACAGATCAAGAGGCAGTTGTTTGAACAGAACAAGGGGACACGAAAAGGTTTAAAACCAGGGAAGATGGTGCCAGGGTTATATTCTTTTACCACACTTATTCTATGTACTGAGAAGTTGAATCATAGCAAGAATAACATGGCATCTGAATAGGAGGAAGACACATTAACAACCTGCGACATGCAGATTACACAATCTTGTTTGCTGAAAGCAAAAAAGAGGACTTAAAATACTTACTGCTGAAGTCCAAAGACCACAGCCTGCAGTGTGGGTTGCGCCTCGATGTAAAGAAAACAAAAATCCTCACCACTGGACCATTAAATAACATCATGCTAAACAGAGAAAAGACTGAACTTGTCAAAAAACTTCATTTTGCTAGCACCCACTATTAACTCTCATGGAAACAGCAGTCAAGACATCTAATGACATATTGCAATAGGCAAATCTGTTGCACAAGACATCTTTAAAGTGTTCAAGAGCAAAGATGTTAGTTTGAGAAGTAAGGGGCAAGTCATGGTATTTTCATTAACTTCACATGCATGTGAAAGTTGGACAATGAATAAGGAATTTTGCCCACAGAATCCTTCAATACTTCAAGTTGAGGCTTGATTTTTTTTTTTCCAATTCTTTCAGCATGATAAATGTTAGTTTGCTAACTCAAGGTCTTTGTACATTTCATTATAATGCTTGGCTTTGTCTTTTGGACTGTCCTTTGAAATAGTCAATCTTTTATGTTGTTTAGGGAGTCCTGGTGTGGCTCTGTGCTAATGCGCTAGACTACAAACCCATTTGAACTGCAAGGTTGGTGGTTCAACCTCACCAGCTGGTCCTTGGAAACCCTATACAGGGTCACTATAGGTTGGAATCGACTCGACAGCACTTAACAACGACAAATATCATTCTTGAAAAACACAATTTGGGTGTTAGAAAATAGAGTTTAGTCTCTAGAAGACATTTACAGTACATGTTGTTGTTGTTGTCAGGTGCCATCGAGTCGGAACCAACTCATAGTGACCCCATGCACAGCAGAACAAAACAATGTCCGATCCTGGGCCAACCTC